TATTATTAACAACAATATCACCATAAAGGCAGCCCCACATCCTGCACCCACCTGACGTCCAGCAGAAAGGCGTTGTGCGTGGCGTTGGCCACAATGACCGTGTCCTGTCCAGCTTGACCGTCGCTGGCCAGCGAGAGGGTGACCACCCCCAGGTAATACTTGAGCTGCACTGTGTGCCACAGGTTGTCGTTGACCCGCCGGCCCACGTGGGCCGCACCCGACTGACCGTTCACTGACCACACCATCACCACGGAGCCGTTGAGCAAGGAGAGAGTCAGCTCGTGGGAGCTGGAGGACACGACGGATGAGGACCACGACGATGATGACGATGATGATGTTGCTGCTGATGCAGATGATGATGTTGATGATGATGACGTTGGAGATGATGATGATGATGATGGTGACAACGACGATGATGATAGGGATCCTCGAAGGAAAATAAGGCTCCCCGACCCGGAACAAGTTCTAAACGTGACCTCTTTTCGACTCCGGAGGTCCCAGTCGCTGTTCGGGATGGTCACCAGCGACGTGGTGTTGAAGAAGGCGAAGTCTCGAACCCCGGCCGCTGGGGACGGACAGCTGGCCAGGACGGAGAGCGCCAGGAGCAGAAGAGAGAAGAAGCCCAGAGGCCGCAGTCGGAATGTGACCCCCGCGGCGGGCTGTGAAGAGGAAGACCGGTGTGGTGGTGGGGACGTCGACCTGGAGGAGGACGTCTGTGGTGAAGGGGGCGCTGAGTGGGAGGAGGCGGGGGGAGGGGGAGGAGGAGGCGAAGAGGACTCAGGCCTCATCGTGGAAGGTGAAGAGCGCCCGGTCAGATTTTGGTCTGTGAAGAAGGAAAAAAAAGGATATTCATGGCAATATGCTGGAAAGACAATTGGTCACTTTTAAGGATAAGCGGGCTAACCCAGATTTCGAAGGTTTCCAAAAATCTTGACCTGCACCAAAAGTGGGGACTGCCCTACCTATAGGAGAAGTTCGGTTTCATTGGTGTGTATATGTGTTTATTTACTTACTACCCATTATGCCATCAGGCATTTAGGGCAGCAACAAAGGATCTCCAGCTCTGTCTGTTTTGGGCCATCTATACTATATTTGTTTGGTTAAAGAGAAAACTCTCCTTGTCTTTTTAAAAAAACTGAACAAGGGGCAAAACTTTACCTTCGATTTTCTCAAAACCGCATTTTTCGGGACAGCCCCCTTGTGCTTCAAAGTGACCAGTTAGAAGACGACTACAGGGGAAAAACGACTGTAGTCACAAACGGAAAATCGTGAGGGTACCAATTCTGAACGCTTGTTGACTCATAACTGTATTTTTATTTGTTCAACCGTTGGTTGATTATTGCTTTTGTTAGATTTCCCATTCAACAACACTTAACAATAAACCACCCACCTGTCAAACAAATATGAAGTTATAAGTCCAAAAGTTTTTATAATTGGCACCTTCACCATTTCCATTTTGTGACTACAGTCGTTTTCCCTCTCTGCTCTTCTATTTTAAGAAGGGGAGCCTCAACTAGACTTTTACCATGGTTGTAAAGTCGACAGAAACCTCCCGTAACAGGATCGATGAGGCCGATAGTTCAAGGTCTTTAAAAAAATCTCTTGAGGAAGAATGAAAGGGGGGGGGGGGGGGGGCTTTATCCGAACAAACACAAATATAAATTGCAGCAAAACTTCCAAGCTTCTATATCACCATATTGTCGATATTAATAATCACCTCCACGAATCATATTACATGTTTACTTTACGCTTTAACATAAAACAATCATTTTGTACAGTTCTCAAGGGGGTGGACGGGGGGAGGGATACTTTCTCCTTCTATGAAAAACAATTTCGGTGAGCAGCTTTTTATACCCGCTTCCTTTCCAGCAAAAACAAGAAGAAAAAAATAATTAAATCATTAAATAAAAACCAAACCCGGTGAGAAGAAAAATATCTTAGGGATTACCCACAGGTCGTTACGGTAGAAGTTCAATCGTAAGTTAATTTTAGCATCTAAACAGTATTTTGTCTGAATAGAGAAAAAAACAACCTGGATCAATAATAGCCCACCTAATCCCCGTGCACCAAATACTGGCGCTCAATCTGGGCCCATAAATCTTGTAACCCCTGCTTGTTGAATCGATGCACCAGTCTGCACTTAGCTCTCGTGCACACGGTGCGGTTTGCCAGAAACTTTTCCCCCCGTATATCTTGGGATTTATATACTGGCGATCAATGTGTTTTCTTAAGCGCCACGTTTTTACTACGCATCTATTGAGTATTTTTCCCGTCCCGTTAGTTACTACTAGTACATGTACTACTAAACTGAATACTCTGAAAAGTAGGTCATGTTATTGTTACGAAAACACTATTATAGTGCTTCAGTTGTTGTTCACAGCACCCATGTAGATAAAACAAAAACACGAAAATGTGTTCCTCCCCCCCCCCCCTCCCCAACTCGACCATTTCCATTCTTTTTTTTTTTGGACTGAAGATTAGATTTGTGTTTACTTAAAGCCTCATCAACGTTTGATAATTAGCAATCGAGAAAGATGGTTCGCTTAACTCAAGATCTGAGAAATCAAACAATCGGCACGCTCCGCGCTAAAGTAAGCCTTTCTGTTGTCGCAAGCACATTCAACGTCAGAAGACAAAACAAATTACACCAGCCGCCTGGGGTTAATTTGTTTTCAAATGTAGGTGTTTTACCCCCCCCCCCCCCCCCCAATCATCGCTACAATATAGATCATTTAGGAGGCGGGCACTCCGACCTTCCTTGTCAGGGCAAACCCTGGCTAAGAAGGATACAGCATCCCAATAGAAAGAACCGGGACACTCGATAAAATAGTTTCCCGGCTCAGGAATCGAACTCGGGTCTTCTGCGTGAGATCGCTAAGCGCCTGACCGCTACATCACAGGCACCGACTCCGGGCCAGCGAGAGGCATGTCGCTACCTCAGAATGACAAAGGTCTATCTGCTCAGTACCTAGTTTTGAGAAATTTGACGTTAACCCAAAAAAAAAATGACTTTCACAACATGCCAAGCTTTTTTCGAATGCAGTTCTTTGAATATCTTGATAACGACTCCGAATATACTTACGATTTTGATGGATCAGATACGGAGCATTTAGTTTCTGGCCTCATGGTCTTAGAAATTCAAAACGGCCAAAAATGTCATAAGTTTGTAGTTCTGATGTAGCGCTGTGGTGATCGTTTGGTGAGTTATCTACAAAACTGGCGGCTCTCAGCTCGTGACAACAGCTGGTAACCTCACGGCTTAAAGTTAAAGTTACGTCAAGCAGCTCGCTATCTTAGAATCACAAAGTACTATCTGACATTTTTGGGCAGTTTTGGGTGTGTGTGTGTGTGGGAGGGGGGGTCTTGGTTTAGTACAGTTTTTACGGCGCTCAAACAACTGCATGAGATCTTATTATTATCAGCGCTATTTTTTTTTTTTAGTTACTAAGACATGAGCTCAGAAACCAAATGTTCTGTCTGCTCTCATCAAAATCGTAAGATTATGCGGAGTCGTTATGAAGAATTTTTTTCTTATGCATTCGAAAAAAACTTGGCATATTCTTAAACTCAAAATTTCTCACCACAAATTTCTCGAAACTAGGTACTCAGCTGATGGAACTTTGTGTAAAAATTCTACTGAGTTAGGGGATAGCTGGTAAGCTCACGTCTTCACGGTACGTCACGTCTTCACGGTACGTCACGTCTTCACGGTACGTCACGTCTTAACGGTACGTCACGTCTTAACGGTACGTCACGTCTTCACGGTACGTCACGTCTTCACGGTACGTCACGTCTTCACGGTACGTTAAACAAGTGCAGCGACAAAGTGCAGTAACCTCATTCATACAATACTGCCGTTTACGAGGCATCGTGGGGAATTCAGGCGCTCATCAAAATAGTCAAATTGAATATATCGGTATCCGAAAAAAAACTAACGATTTCGATGGAGCAGATAGAGCATATTTTGGTTTCTGACCCAGTTTGACAATTTTTTTCTAATTTTTGTTTTTGGCTCGACATCTTTAATATCCTTTTAAAAACATGTTTCTGTGTGGATTTTACTGGAAAACATTAAGTCACACAAAATGAAAATTTTCAGATTCCAAGGACTCTCAACCTTTGGAAATCACCAAACTTTGACGGCTATTTTCCCGCTAATTTTGCATTTGAAATCAGACATCCCCGACCTCCTTCAATCGCAAAAATCTCGACTTCTTTTCAAGATAGGCATGTATTTTTTCCACATAAAAAATGCTCAAATGAACAACCTTTAAGATGATACCATAATAACTCCAGATGCCCCCAAAACTGACGAGCGCTTCATTCTACCGCGTCGTGACACAATCTTATTCACCACCACCACCAGCAGCAGCAGCAGCCCGTGACATTCCAACAGGACAATGAGACCACACACCGAGCACTCCACAACCCAATACCTTTTTCTTTTCCTTTTTTATTTTTTTATTTAAAGAATAAATCCAGAATAACCTTATTGCAATGGATCCATGACCTGCCTTTTCACCAGCAGATTTGAACTCGATTTAGCACCCGTGGGAGAGGATAGTTAGCATGAGAAAGGCACTTTACACGATTTTTCCTCACTTCACCAGGTGGGAATGGGTACCCGGCCATAGACAGCGAAATATCTTTTCAGCATGTTAGTGTTTTAGCGCCTATAAACGGTTGTTTGCACTGCATGCTTCCCGGGAAGTTGAGTTTGTTTCAGAATGCTCTCAGGTCTGTTGGGGTAATAGTATAGATTGTGAAGCGCATAGAACTTGCTGTTGAGCGGTGATTTGCGCTATACAAATGCTATCTATTATTATTATTATTATTATTATTATTATTATTACATGAAATCTTATTAGCTTGATATTCCATTTTATGTTTACACTTTGGTGTGTAACTTAGCAATAAACGCTATTACAGCGAAGTAACATATCAATTTTTTTATTGTTTCAGTTATTTATATAAAACATTCTCCTGTGTGTGTTTACTCGAAGACTAACAGCTCATTTTTTAAAATCCAAAATGCTGCCAACTTTTTGTTATTACTAAATACAAAAGCGCCAGACCAGATGATAGAACTGAGCAGGGTAAAAAAAAAAGTATACATAGATACTCAAAGAAAACGGTTGGTGTCATCACAATTGTGACTGGCTAAAGTGTGACTGGTAAGGCACAGCCGTCATCTCATGTCACCACTCCGTTCCTAACGACAGATCGTCAAAATCAGAAACATTCAATTGTTTCTCTAATTAACCGTGTGCTGTTCTTTGTGACACGCACCCCGGTCCCAGAAACCTTTTACAGCCGCTGCAGCAAGTCTTCAACACCAATGTCTGGAACAACATTACAAAGACAGGCTAAATATGCCGTTGCGAGCGCCGTAAAACTCTTACTAAGTTAAACTTCTACTAAACGACAGACAATCGCAGACGTGTGTACTCTATGCGCACGAGAAGCATTGATGAGCTCTATGAACATGGAGACCACACGGAGTTCTAAAATGTGACTTTCGAAATTTACTCGTCAAATTTCAACCATAAAAGAATAAGAATACGTTTTTGCTGGGAAATAATTTGTCAAATACTTCATAAACCAGTTGGAAGGCTACCGGACTCGTGATCGTGAGGTTGAGGGTTCGGGGGTTCGAGCCGTGGGCCCCACATTGTGTCCTTGGTAAAGGCACTTTACACGAATTTTCCTCACTTCACCAAGGTGGGAATGGGTACCCGGCCATAGACAGCGAAATATCTTTTCAGTATGTTAGTGTTTTAGCGCCTAT